AAAAGAAAATATCAGATGACCTTGTGAAAACATCAAAATGCATTACTAATTTGTTATTGATCTTAGTTTTGTTAGCTTTATATAATGATTGGGAATAAGATAATAGTCTAGAAATGTGTATTAATGCTTCTTTTGTCATTTTATAAAATATCATTGCATATTTTAACATATTTCATAATATTTTCATAATGTCTCTAATTTTTACAATATTTCCCCTTGACATTTCCGACATTTCTGACATAAGTCATATATTTTGATAAGTGACATTTCCATCGACATCGACATTTTAAACCTTGAAGAATGGGTGAAGGAGTTGGTGGAGAAGATCAAATAGGGTCAGGTCTCTAGCATAAAATATACCTTGAAGAATGGACTGGTGTGGCGAAGGGGACGGGTGGTTCTCGAGCCGACCTCTGAATACCGTTGGAAACTATTTGTAGAAGCCCACTCGAGTCTCCTAGGAGGACATGCGGGTTACAACAAAACAATGCAATAACTGGGGAGGATCTGCTTCTGGAAGGGGTATCGTCGACAAGTGCGTAAGTGGATCTGAGAATGCAAAAGTTGCCAACGAAACAAGAGTGAAAACGTCCCCACTCCAGGACTACTGTAGCCACTACTGATACCCGAGTATGTCTGGAGGGACCTGTCAATGGACTTCATCGACGGGCTACCACTTTCCAATAGAAAATCAACTATCGTGGTGGTGGTCGACCGATTGACCAAATATAGTCATTTTGTGGTTTTATCACACCCCTATATGGCCCAAGGAGTAGCTCACGCATTCATGGAGAACGTCTTCAAGCTTCACAGGATGTCGAGCAGTATAGTGAGCGAAAGGGACCCGGTCTTCACTGGGAATTTTTGGAAGGAGTTGTTACGTCTACAGGGGACACAATTACAGATGAGTTCGGCCTACCATCCCCAGTCCGGTGGGCAGACCAAGGTGGTGAGACTTTGGAGGCATATATGTGTTGTTTCGTCGAACAAAGCCCACAAGCTTGGGCCAAATGGCTGGCACTAGCAGAGTGGTGGTATAACACCTCATACCATTCCACCATTCACACCACCCCGTTTCAGGCGGTCTATGGGTGTCCCCTCCCAATCTCCTCACCTACATCCTGATGACCACCAAGGTACAAGCGGTGGACAAAGAATTGAAGGACAGGAAAACGACTCTGATGAAGCTCAAGGAGAACTTGGCCCGGGCATAGGAAAGGATGAAGAAACAAGCGGATTGACGAAGGACAGAATGAGAATTTGAAGTAGGAGATGAGGTCTTCCTGCAATTGCAACCGTATCGACAGACCTCCGTCACGGCTCGCCGATCACAAAAGCTATCGGCCAAATACTACGGCCCTTGTACCATCACCGAACGAATCAGCCCGGTGGCTTATAGATTGGCTCTTCCCGCAGATAGTCAGATACACCCGGTAGTCCGCGTGTCCTAGCTCAAACGTTGGATTAGGGATCCGAGCTGTATTCGCCCTGAATTACCACCACTTACTCCTAGAGGAGACCTCCTTCCCCACCTGAAGGTCGTGCTTGACGTATGTATGGTAAAACAGGGGAACCGTCCGATCACTGAAATCCTGGTACAGTGGGAAGGGACGAGCCCAGCCAACGCAACTTGGGAAGCTCTCAGCCAGATGCAGCGTCAATACCCATCAACACGCCTCGGGGAGGCATTTTCCGAGGGGATGATGCGGGGCACTGCTGTGCCACTGTAGCCCCGATAGCCTGCATCGAATATTCCGCTGTAACCACCTAATTTATCGTACAGGCCGTTGGAACCGTATCGAGTGCCTTATCATTATTGTAACGGTCTCGGACCACCGATGATTATAAATGATTGAATAATGAATAGTGAGATATTGAATTTTTACCTCAATCATTGGTTTCTCTCTCCGGTCACGCTTCTGGTCATCCCCTTGAGAGGTGTTTCACTATAGCTCGGGGAAACTCAAAGCTCTCTCCCCGGCGACGGGAAGAGGTTATCAACACCTTCTGAATACTATTCAGTGAAAGATCTGTTAAGAAGGGTGGTCCTTATCAGATTAAGAAGGAAAGTTAAACCATGAACGAGAAATAGATTCCTTCCGATCTAAACTTGGTGTCCAATCTCAATCTAATCTTTTGTCTCTGTTACTTGATCACAGTTTAGTTTACTTCTTAATCTGAGATGGACCACCCTTTTATGTGGGATCATCTCATTGATAGGTATGATGAAACATTCGGACAAATGTATGAGCAAAAGTGAACTTATAAGCTCAGGAGGCTTCTAATGATGCAAACATTGCATGCCATTTTCTGTCACTGTCATCCAATCTTTTTCAAGATTATTCCCATTCCAAAAGTTATTTGTATCGGGCAGAGATATATAGAGCCAAATGAACACAAAAACCATAATTTTGTTCCCTAACAAAAAATAACCCAGCCACCAGAACTGCTATCTGTCCATTTCTATGACAATAACAGAGCATGGTTTTTGAATTGCCGTTGACCCGGACAGTCAGACCGTTCGGCCTGAGAATCATTCAGACAGCCAGTTCTGTTTTACCCCAAAACCGGTCCTTGGTTAAAAACCGTTGAATCAATCAACGACTTATTGACTCGGGCAGTCGAACCATCGATTTGTTCAGTAGTTTTTGGATTTTTATTTTTAATAATTTTTTTAAATTTTTTGTCAGAACAGGCCATTCGTTCAAACTGAACGGCCAAACCATTGACCCAGAAACCGGTGACTAGAACAGTTCCGTTTCCAGGTCGCTTTTTAAAACCATGTAACAGAGTGCAAGCTTAATCTAAAATAAACAAGTTATTAGGCACTTGTAACTAGAGGCTAGTTACACTAAGCAAAATAAACACTCATTTATAGATCTAATTATATCAACAACATATTACTATAATATTATATAATAACTTTCATCAAACCAAGAAAACTCATTTTTTTAGCTATAACAATTCTTACGCGCTCACCAGGTGAGCCCTTGCAAAGCATACACCCCCCTTTCCTCTGTTATATACTATAACAGAGGCAATTACATGACTGTTCTATGACTTTTTTCATATCCTTTCCAATTATTTTTTTGTAAATCCAATTCACAATTTTTTTGGCTCCATGGGGCAACACAACAGGGGTAGCTCATCCCCCAAACCCAAACGCCCCCCCCCCCCCTCCCCAAACCCTGGTGCAGGCAGGATTTGATCCCAAGTCTACCAATTGGCCAGTTGGAACCTTGCAAATCCAATTCAAACTGGAGGTTAGGCGTGCATTCCCTTTATTTTTTCTTTATATTTCTGCTTTCTCTTTTTTTTTTCTTTTTTTCCCACCACAAGACCAATTATTATAGCCCACCTCTCTCTACTCTACTCTCCTCTCTTCCTTCTCTTGCTTTGAAATCAGTTCATACCTGAAGAGAACTAGAGAAGGGCATAGAGAGAAAAGTCATACACAAAGATATTATGGCTATAGGGTAACAGCGTCAATATAATCTTAATCTATTCCTGATATTTCCTACTATCTCTATACCAGAGTAAACAGAGATGGCATTTCTTGCTGTACCATTTCATTTTATAGGAATAGCTACAGTATTGGTCCCGTTTCAAACTTACTGGGTTGTTTTTTTTTAGGGGGTGTAATCAAATAACTTTCATTAAGATAACTACAGAACACAACAAGAGGAAAATACTAGCCACAAACTGACATCGGTACAGAACAACAGAGAAACTACTTTTATTTTTTGGGTGTAATCAAATGCTTTCATTAAGATAAATACAAAACACAGCAAGATGAAAACACTAGCCACAAACTGACATCAGCACAGCACAACAGAGAAATTACCACAGAGACAAACACAAGCAAATGAAAGAAACTAGTGCCACAAAAGAGGGAAAACGAGCCAACAAGCTAAACAAACAAACAAACTGAATAAAATAAAATAGTTAACTAGTCACTACTTGTAGCAGGTTTAGTGGGTTCAGACTCCAACTTTTGGAACCAAAAGGGGATGCAAAAACAAGAATTCCCCTTTCTCAAATGGGTTGTGCAACTCTATTAAATAACTCTGAACGATTTGGATGAAAATCATCTTTGTCACAGTTTACCTATTTTTTTATGAATAACAGAAACTTCCATTAAATTACACTTGACCATTTTCTCCACATTGGGTTCAAATATGATCTACTAATACTTCTAGGGAAGAGCCATAGTGTAGCTAATATAGAGTCATTACAAGCTAACCAATAGATTGTATTTGATAAGTTTTGACAACAAAATAATTTTTGTTCTGGCACACAAAGAATACAACTTAGTAAGTTTGAAAAGAATCACAGTAAGTTATTTCTAGAAAATGAAAATGGTAGGCAGGAACCAAGAGTCGGGATCTTCTATACTGGCACTTAATCTGTTACACACTGATTGCAAGTGCATGAAAAGTTATATGCAAGCAAATGCAACAGATCAAACATCATTATATACATATTGTAACTAATCTTACGTTTTCTAATGGTTTTCTTCCTTTACATGTACAGACAAAAGGAGACATAGGAATAGGCAAATTATAATGATGGGGTTTTCCATGTTCAAAGGACGTCCCCTTGAATGAAACAATACATGTAAATATATTTTTCATATCACTCTTTCCTTCTTTAAGCCCTTCTACCCAGAGACAACAGCCAACAGGAAGCAGACTTGTGGACTTGTATGGCAACAAAACAAATATTGAGGGATGTGCAGCAAGGCACAGTAACAGTGACAACGAGTCTGATGTGGTGCAAAAGAGGAAGAGAAACTCGTGTGTGCATGAGAGAGAGAGAGAGAACTGTTGGGCAGGGGTTTCCAGGTCCAGATTTCAACTTTCAATAAAGATAGGAAGGAGCATTTTGGGGTTTTTAATTCATGGGCCAATCCATAGATTCTCAGTATGGCAGGGTTTATTAAGGCAATGCTCATCAAGGTGTCCAGACAGTCTAATATTGGATGTGAAGTGGATACTGGATACTCAATATTAAATTGTTTACCAATATTTCCTGGTTGTGTAATGTTCTGTACAACAGTACAAGTTCTCACTTGTCAAAAAAAAAACAAAAAACAATCACTGAAGAACAACCCACCAAGCAAATACAGAATAATCTGGGATAAATATGAATTTCTATGCAAACCAAACCAAGTGCATTTCTTTCTAAGCGCCAATTGCTCCACAATCACAGTTGGGGAATAAATCTCCAAGCTTGATGCATGATATCTTCATTTATGAAAGGTCGCAAAGACCACATCAAAGTGTAGCTCTCGAGTTCTCCTGATGATGAGTTAAGACTTAGAGATGAAATGATCTTTTCCTGCATGGAGTTGGCAATTTCATTTTCTACTCGAGAAAAAAAATAACTAAAAAATTGATGTGCCATGATCAATCCAAAAGCATATGAGGTCAAAAACCTGCATTGTGTAGTCTTGCTTCACCATACTATATACGATTCCCATTGTAGCAGCATAATCTGAAACTTCAGGTTTATGAATATCATGTGATTCCAATTCCCCCTGTGACCATTATGGAAATTTGTAAGCTATAATAAGTTTAAAATGACCTCACCAAATAAAAACAACCAGAAACTAATTGGAAAACCAAGGTGTTCTTAAGAATGAATTCCCAACCCCCATGATGAATGAACATATGACTACATGAATCAGTTACCACCACTCAACAACTCCCCTTCTAAGAGTTTTTCAAGGCAAAGGGGAAATTTTCCATTCAAATTTATCTTTGTTCCTATTGGTCCAATCTATAACCAATTCACCATGCCACTCACCATTAGACCTATTCATGGGCCGGGTAGCCCGAAAGGCCGGCCCGGCCTGATCTAAGTCAGGCTTGGACAGGATTTCAGGCCCGCAGGCTCGGGCTCGGGCTTTCTCAAAAAAGCCCGGCCCGAGCTCAAGCCCGACTTGATAATGTATTATATAATAAAAATATATTTTATATAATAAATATATAATATATTTTTTCTTCTCTTTTTTCAAGTAATAGTGAGATCTTTCATTATTTTTTTAGGTTTTGAGGTCTTTTAATATGAATAAAATAGTTTTTAATTGAATAAAAAAGGGAAAAAATCTTTTTTTCCAAATTTTTGGCCCGGCTCGGGCTCAGACTTGCGCATTTTCTGTTAATGTAGAGGCAAAGCCCGGCCCGTGAACAAGTCTACTCACCATATCTAAAAGTCGCCACGAAAAATTATAGTGACACATTGGATGATTACAATTTATAAATCAATTAGACAAATTAACAGAAGAGAGTGGAAATGGCATAAAGAATTTGTATTTGTTTTATCAGCAATGGAAATGCATATACTAGTATGAATTGTACAAACTACAAATTGAGAACAAACCCCTGGTGCACCAAAAAGTGCCAAGAACAGCCTCAGCCCATCAATGGGCTGCCCTATAGACCATGTACATAATACAAAATCGTATGAAAGATATGGCAAACTTGGCATATTGGGACCTCAAAACAAGCACTATCTGATCACTACACCTAACTAGATTGCTAGCTAGCAAATCAACAAAGCTCAAAACCCATGCCGATGAGGAGTTCAATCTATCACATGGAGACAATACCTCTTTGATTTGATATCTAGTCTCCCAAGTCCTTTTCATCTCACCCTCATCCAATCAACAACATTCTAAGAGTCTCTATTGACATTTAATCTCTCAAAGCCCAAAAAATTGATAACTAAAGGGCCTGAAGAAGAACCTCTCGGAAGAATCTAAAAATGCCTTTGGAGGGAATAAAATGTTGATGAGAAGTAATTTATAGTTTATAGGAAGAATTGAACTTGTCATAGGTTGGGATAAGCAAATTATCCCAGGTAACTATTGTCCCAATGTAGCCTTGATACTATTTGGTTGATTTCTTTTGTTTTTCCTTTTCTTTTTTCCCTTTTTTCTTGAGACAGTTGCCTCCTTGAGATTTTTGACACTTCTTTAACTCATCCCCTTCCTCTGGTCTATTGGCACTTGCATTCCCCTCTTCTTTCTGTCTTCTTTGTTACATTGTATATCAATAATGATAAAAACTATATTAGAACATCAATAAAAATTGGCCAACCTTTAAAATTAGCCAAATATGATGTTAATTTTAACTGGCAATGACCTAACCCATTAAATGTGATGATGCGAGAGATCAAAACCATTGCCACCATTCCTCATCCATCCAATTACAACTTACAAATCTCCCTCTACCTCAATGCTTTGAATATCCAAGAGGACATCAACCTCAACCCCTATAAGAAGACAATGTACTCAAATTCAGGCCCCATGCTCCATACAACCTTAAAAGTTAACACCACCCTTATACTTGAGTGACATAGATTCCTCAAACTTCACCATCAAAATTTAGATCTTTTAAGGAAAGGGGTTTATCCTAGTTCTAGGGATAATCTACCTGTTAGATGATACTCTGAACACATATAACCAGCCCCTAATAACATCATCAACTGAGAAACTAGACCTTAGGGATGTACCTCAATTGCAATCTAAATGGAAATCAAAATGGAAAATAATTCTTATATTCCACTTTTTTTTAGAAAAGTTGACTGATTTCATTAAGAAAAGAGAGGGGTACACAAGTGGGTGTACAAAGAAAACAAAAAGTAGGGATCAGACCCCTGAAAATTACACAGGAGGGATCTTATCACAGTACACTTCTAAAAAGCATCTACTTTTGCTAGCTTATCTGCAAGAGCATTGAGTTCCCTTGGAATCCAGCACAGGTTTGCGTTTGTAGCTGCCAATAGATCCCTTGCGTCTGTCAGAAAGTGACTGAGTCTCCACAGTCCAGCCTCCTGTCTTCCTAACAATTTTATAATGTTAGCTGAGTCTCCCTCTATGGATATATATATATATATATTATCAGTAACAGAAAACTTTTATTAATTAAGAAAAAAAGTTTAAAATACAATGGTGGGGGGAGGTAAACCCTCTAACCGCACCCCCAAAAGGAAATTTACAGTGTAGTCCAAAACAAATGACTTCTTCCCACCCCCTGTTTGGCCAAAGCATCTGCAAATTAATTAGAACATCTTTTAACCCACCGGATACGCACATCCATTCCTTGGGTTAGCCACTTGAAATGCCTTCATTCATTAATGTATGCCCATAACCCATCATTTGCCTTCTCTATCCAGCCAGTTACCACTTACAAGTCTCCTTCGATAATCAACCTATTTATATTCAACTCCTTAGCCCCTTTTTACCCCCTCCAAGAGGGCCAGAATTTCTGCTCTCAATGAATCTCCAACTCCAATTGGTCCTGGAAAAAGGGCTATAACTGAACCTGCCTCTGTTCTGAAAACACCACCAACCCCTGGTGGCCCTGGATTTCCTTCACTTCTCCCATCAAAGTTGATCCCTCTATGGATATATTCTGAATGCCTAGTCCACAATTATGCTTCAGGAAGGCGCAGGAAAAACCATATCTCAAAGATTAAAGTGGACCAAAGGGAGGTGGAAGATGCGGATGAGAAAACAGAGACTTTTCTTAACCATTTCAAAGAGCTCTGTTCTAAGGAAAGTTTCAGAAAATTGACACTAAGAAGCTGGGATGGACCAACTCTAACAGAAGAAAAGAAGAGTTGGCTTGAAAGAGACTTTCAGGAGCAAGAAATAAGGGAAGCAGTCTTTGATATGGATATAGAGACCCTGGGCCAGATGGTTTTCCTATTTTCTTCTTTCAGATCTGTTGGGATATAGTAAAAGATGATCTCTTGGAGGTATTTAAGGAGTTTCACTCTTCGGCTGTTGTAAACAAAGGTAACAACTTTATCTGTCTCATCCTGAAGAAAGGAGGTGTCTTGGAAGTAAAAGATTTTAGGCCAATAAGCTTAGTAGGGAGTGTGTACAAAATCTTGGCAAAGTTGTTGGCAAAAAGGATCAGAGAAGTCCTAGGAGATCTAGTCTCACCTAATCAGTTTGCCTTTGTGAAAGGTAGACAAATTGTGGACAGCATCTTAATAGCAAGCGAATGTGTCGAAGAGAGAAGCAAGAGTGGCAGGTCGGGCCTACTTGTTAAACTAGATCTTGAAAAGGCATATGACAAAGTTGATTGGGATTGCCTCCTTCAAGTTTTGAAATTGAGGGGTTTTGGTGTTAAATGGTTGCAGTGGATGAAAGGATACATTAGCTCAACCTGGTTTTCAATCCTTTAGAATTGAGAGTCCAAAGTCTACTTTAAGCCTTTAAGGCAAGCAGAGGTCTTCGACAGGGATGTCCTCTCTTCCCTTTTCTTTTTACCCTGGTGATGGATGTTTTCGTCCAGCTCGTAGATAAGGCAAAAAATCTAAATTTAATAAAAGGTTTTGAAGTAGGAAGAGGTGCCCTCAACATTTTATTCTCTTCCTGGAAGCTAATCTGGAGAACATAATCAATGTGAAAAGGGTTCTGAACTGTTTTGAACTAGTCACCGGGCTGAGGGTTAACTACACAAGGAGTAGTATAGTGACTATCAATTCAGTTGAAGAAGCTCTTTTGGAAAGTTTTAAGGAAATTCTGATCTGCCGAGTGGAAAACCTTCCCCTTACTTATTTAGGCTTGCCTTTGGGTGGGAACCCCAAAAGTCCAAGTTTCTGGGAGCTGGTGTTGGAAAAGTGTGAAAAGAAGCCAGCCACTTGGAAACGGTGTTATCTATCTAAAGGGGGGAGGCTTACACTCACTAAAACTTTTCTTGCAAATCTGCCCATCTATTTCTTCTCAGTGTTACAATTCCTGCCAAAATCAGAACACAGATTGAGAAACTTCAAAGAGACTTCCTTTAGGAAGGTGGAAGGGAGAAAATAAGTCATCTAGTGAGTTGGCTCAGACCTGTAAATCTAAAGAGACTGGAGGGTTAGAAATTGGTCACTTGAAAGAGAACACCTCTCTACTTGGAAAATGGCTGTGGAGATTCCCTACGGAGAAACTCTCTTTGGGCAACTGTCATCACCAGTAAGTATGGGTTGGACACTAACGGTTGGGACTGCAACCTTCATACAAACCGTGTAGCTTCATCAAGCCCTTGCAAAGGAATCATCTCAACTTATAACAGCTTATTTCCACTCGTAAGGTTTAAAGTGGGCAATGGCACTAGAATAAAATTCTGGACTGATCTGTGGTGGGACAATACTACTTTGGCAGATTCCTACCCTAGACTCTTTAACCTCACCCTTAAAAAGAAGAAACCATCTCCCAATGTCTCCCCTCTTCCCTCACTTAGAGCAATATAAACTTGAGCCTTAGAAGACCTTCAAGGGATTCGGAGATCAGTGAGTTAACTGAACTCCTTCTCTCCCTCAGAGAAGTCTACATCTCCCCCAACTCCCTAGATTCTTTGTCTGGAAACCCCCCACCCTGTAGGTGAGTTCTCTTCCAAATATTTCTTCAAGGTTCTGGTCGCAGAACAGTAGGACTGTAACTTCCCTTTCAAGAAGGTCTAGTGCAACTACATCCCCTCCAGAGTGTGCTTCTTTTCCTGAGAGAATTTTGGCAGACTATTTATCTCCCCTCATGTC